GTTGTAATTATTGTGTGAGTGTGTCAAAAGATAAATTCCCATTACTTACATGAGAGGAAAGGTCTCAGCAATATTTATGGAAATATTTTTGACAAAATTCAAAAATATTTATTTAAAAGAGTTTTTTTTAAAAAAAAACCCCTTCATTTACCTTACTTTAAATTTAAATTCAAATAATAAAGTTATTATCCTTGATTAGCTTGTCAGAAAACGTCAGCCATAATTTAACTTTCCATTGCTATATCCTAATAGGCCATCTAATTACTACATTCAAATAGGCCTATTAATTCTTTTGAAACGTTCAAAACCGCATGCCGTGATGATATTTTATTCCATTCAAAATGTGAAGCAATGATGACATTTTAAACGGATATGCTCGTATTGATTTCCAATATTCTCAAACGGAAATTTGTCTTTATTTACACGTTATTGTTTTAATGGTTACTTAGAGAGTTTTATTGAAACCGGTGAAATCATGGTGCTGTTCATGAAGCATAAATCATTCTTATAAATACTCACGTGTGCGTGTGCATGGAAAAAAAAAAAGGGGCTAAGCATTTTTTGAGCTCTTGGGCACTTTCTCTTCCTCTCAAGTGTCTTGCTTCCTGAGTTTAATTTTTTCTCTGAATTATTTCTACTGTTCTGTCACCCTGTTCAATTTTACAGGAGGGTTCCACTTAATCCTAGGGAGCTCCGACAATTGTGCCGGAATTGCTCTTAAGGACAGTGTCCTTAGGCACGACTTGGAACAAATTTTACATTGCTACCGCTAACATGCTTTGTGCACTTCTTAATTATTTTATTTCTATTAATTAATTAGCATATTACACATCGTTTCTTATTTTCTAAATCCTTCTCTATAATAATAATAATAATAATAGTCATCATCATCATATAAAGAAGCGCACATAGTGAAAGTGGCGAAAGAACTAAGTGCACTATACCATATCCATTTCAATCTACATCGAAGTTTCAAATGTGATATATTCGAAGGGCCACCTATTAGCTACTATTAAAAATTTGAAGACTTTTAATTTATTGAATTTTCTATTCATTTCCATCACAAATCTAAGAGAACAATATTCATTGTTGGTGAAGTTAGATTATTATTGATATCTTATTTATATTAATTGTATAGGAGTACTATGTTGATTCCTCCTCTTTAATTACGCTGTTTTTTAATATAAAAATCCTTTACCGTTTTAGATATTCTATTTTAGTTCGCCCACTTTTCACTCCTATCTAACAATCCCTTTGGTTGTTTTGTTCTGAGGAAAAAAAAAAAAAACTTATATGCTTAATCTTATATTTTTAGAGTGCTTAATTATTTTCAATCAAATTAAAACATAATTTTCACATGTTATTTATTCTATAAAAAAACTCTTGTGTTAATATTGTCAATACTTTAAAGGGTATATAAATTTGCCCTGGAAATTTTTTGTTAGATGTGCAATTGATATCATTAACTTTTGATTAGCACAATATTACACTAGAAGTTTAAAAAATGGTACAACTTTCAGCCTATAGTAATGTTGAAAATTTTGACATTGTTAAAGAGCAATTTTTCTCCAAAAGTTTTTTTTTATCGAGATATTAGTATCCTAAACTTTTTAATATCACAAATGTTTTTGGGGTTATTAATGTTTAAATTAGAAGAAAAATCTAACAACCCATTATTATTGTTAAAAATTATTCATATTTCTAGATTTTAACAAAAAGTCTTATTCAAGTTTGCTTTGGTGCAAAATCAACTCTACTCAAACCCTCCTTAGACTTTCTCTTAAAGTCCAAACTTGCTCTTATTTTATTCATGAGTAGTTCTCAGCTTGCATAGGTTTAAATATAAACTTGTTTATCATGCTTGCGTGGGCAATATAAACTAGTTTAGATTTTGATTTAGAAACATTCAATATAATTTAACCTAAAATAATATTCTAATTGTGAACTATAACAAGTTGTGTTGGATTCTTTTTTTAATTTAAAATTTAATAATCCAAAAACATTACAACAATTAAAAGTTTAGGATACTAATCAATCACTCCTTCGAACAAACTTATGAGGCAAACTTACCCTTTAACTCAAAATAATAGTCAATGTTGGTCAAACATTAGTATAAAGTAACATTACACTATCTTTGAAACTGCTAGCCAATGCATAACATTGTGCAAATCAAAATTTAAAGATACTAGTTGTACCGACGAAAAACTTTTAGGTTCTTCAACCCTATTTCAAAATTTACTTGTTCTAATTAATTTGACTGGATACAAGTATATTAAATACATAATATTAAGTGCTTGACTCTTCTCCTAAACAAAACCTTGGCAATTTGAGAAACTAGCGAGCGTTCAGATTCGGCACATACATCTCCAATGAATTATTAGCTCTGGATCGCAAATAAATTAGTTTTGATTTCCAAATTAATTTGGTGCCTTTGATTATTAATAGTTCTCTCTCTTTATTTGTTAATTCCCAAAACAAGCCTTTAGTAATAAGGACGAGTATTTATGAAAAATAAAGCATTTAATGGTATTTTTGAAAAATCTAAAATCATATTCAAAACAGCAGTAAAAAATAGTGACTATTTTTTGGTTTTCGAATTCCTGACTGAAAGCCATTTAGATTCATTTTAGCTCAAATTTACAAACAGATCTTTAATTTATTCAGAGATCGTCTTCAATTTCGTCTGGCTTGGTTCCCCGAGAACAAAAATAATAATAAGAAAACCAAAAGACCTAGCCTTTGCCTCTCTCTACACACACACACACACAGATATTCAAATTCAAAATTCATAAAAAATGTTAATCTATACAAAATTTGAGTGTATGTATGATGCTTGCGTGTGACCCTGGAAGTGCGCGCATATCTGTATCATAATCTTTATATAAAGATATGTACGATATACATAAACAATTTGCTTCATATAGTTTTATTTTTAAAGTTTCTAATAATTAAAGCATTCAAAACGTTGGATAAATTAATCAAATCACAGACACCAGAGACTGTTATATATAGTATATATAAAAGAGAACAATTTTCCGTTGTGAGCTAGGTACATATATATAGAAACCAGAATTACTTCTTCTCAACCTAATTACTCGAACTTCAACAATTAATGTATAACTTCAATATGGCTGTAACATCGTCAATGGACAAAGCAGATTATAGCTTACTAAAAGATTTCTAAGTAAATTAATTAATCCCAAATGAAATTTCCAAATCTGACATTAACCTGAATATTTCTTATGAAATGAGGAGTAAACAGCATAATCACACCTATAAGATTAAAGATACAAGTATTCATTTTCATATATCTATAGCGCTTCATTAATTACTATACCAAATGACCTAATCTTCAAATTTCTCCATTAATAGTGAGAAATGGTCGAGACTTTAAAAGGACTATGACTCACTTTGCTTCTCAAATATATATACTGATTTATATCTATAGCTAGTATATATAGTTTAGAAATCTAGGCCAACTTGCTTAATTATATCGATAAATCATTAAACCAGTGTTTTGATCACTTTAATAAAATACTTTGTTATGACCGGTTTTATCATGATTTGATTATGGTTTTGATCATTAATCCTTAAACTGCTTTCATAATTGGCTCAATGAATGGTTTGATTTTCAATACAATTGCTAGCATAATGATTTGTGCATGTGGGATATAATACATATAGCAACTCTGCAAGAAGTAACTTTATTTCTGAAGCTTAACTTAAAGAATGCATCATTATATGAGACAATGTTATAAAGCATAAACCAAAAGGAGAAAACAAGAAGAGAGATAAAGATAGACAGATAGACAAAGAGAGATCAGAGAGAGAGAGAGGAATAATTAAGCTAAGCATGTGTTTGATAGCGAATTTAAGCTAGTCGTGCATGCACATGTTGAGTGTAAACATGTCATCGATATAGATAAAATCATAAGACGTATGAATCATAAGAATAATTTGTGTCTACCTGCAGAAAAGAAGGCACTTGGGCACTCAAGCTATAGAAATTTGTGTTTGTCTCTCAAATGTTCAAAGTTTCGTGAAGTTTTCATTAATCTTCGCAAAGTTCACACTTTGATCATCAGTCATCAAAAACAAGACGAAGAATCATCAGTGATCAAATACAAATTAAATCAAAGAATCTGTTAAGCATCTGGTATAGGGCTAATTTGTTTCAACAATAATAATAAACAAGAGAAGACAAGCACTGGACGACCGTACAGAAACCGTCATTTTAGAATCTATTTGCCCATATAGAAAAAAGTTGGATTTAATTGGACGATGCTTCAACAATCAATTTGAACAGAATTGTAATAAATTGATAAAACAAATGTTAATTACTTTATTCGAAAACTCTCGCACATAATTGTCTTTCACGTGGAAATATCATTAGTTTTCCTCCACTTGATGATGATGGTGTTACTAATCAATATTATTAGAGGGTCAAAAGCAATAATGTTAAGATTCTCTTAATTATTCACAAGAATGACAGGTTAGCAATGCTATATATATGAGTCAATTTTCTGGATTTTTGATGAGGAATTAGCTAGTAAGGTTATCCATTTGCTTCATCACTAGATTTTGGTTTTCATTAGTTTAGTTTTCTTAAAATATGCATCAGACAGTGTGCAATAATGCATAGTTAATTTGTTCTTCTCGAAAAGCCATGGATGGAGAAGACAATTAATTAACAAATTATAAGCCATATATAAAGATTGAGAAGAATAAAAAAGAATATATATGTTTTAACTTTGAATAAGAACTACCATTCAGATGAAAATTTCACTACTTTCTGCTGTTTTCCTTCAATTATTTTCAATCCTAACAAATCCTAAAGGTATGAGACCAAAAATTTATTCCCCTAGCTTCAAGAAGCTATTAATTAACAATTAACTCTTTAAGCTGACAAGCAAAGGTTTGAAAATCATGTTAATTCACTCAATCGTTCCACAAACTGAATCAACATCGCAACATCCCTAAGAAACTAAGACACGATCGAATAATAGAAATCAGTTCTTCATAAATCATCATCATCACCAGACACGTCACTACAACAAAGAAATTAAAAGAGAAGAAAATTTACAAGTTCTCTGTAAACATTAATTTGACATTAATTATCTTCTCACCTTGATGTGCCCTATGAAGCTTTCAGATTGATCATCATCAATATGGTTGCCTCCCACCACCTGAGTTTCCGGCCCAACCATCAACCGGTAACTGCGCCATGTTTAACGGCAGGTTAAAGAACGGAAGCCCTGAGGACGGGTCCGGGAACGAGCTGCCACCGCTGCCGCCGGTGGAAGATTGACCTTGCTGCATCTGTATTGGTTCGTCTTCATCTAAAGGCAATCTTTCATATGCTACGTTGGAAAATGAAGAAGCAATAACAATAACAGGCCCAGCAGCTATCAAGGCACCAACAACATTTCCTCCCACAACTTGACCTTGTCCTCCGGCGAGGAATATCGTCAGGCTGGTGGCTCCCGGCGGAGCCGGAGGCGGCAAAAAAGATCCGGCCAAGGACAGTATCTCAAACCTCCCGTGCAGGGTCACGACGGCACCGGCGGCAGTTGGCTGCCGCAAGGTGACGTTGGTGACGGTGCCACTGCCACTCAGGACGCAGATCCCTCGCTGCCGCTTCCTGGCATAGGTCGCCACAGAGTCAAAGACATCGGAGCCGCTGCTAACTTCAAGGATATGAGCCCTAAGCGTGTTTGCACTTTCTCTGGTTATGATCACCGGCGGTTTTGGCTTGTTCTTCGAGCCAGGCGGCCGTCCCCTTGGCCGGCGACCGCTAACCTCGCCACCGCCACCAGATCCTCCCGGAGTAACTAGCTCAAGCCCTTGAGGGTCATCGTCGTCCTGATCCTGCAGGTTGTCATCTTCATGATTGGAGTGAAGATCAGGGCGTTGAAGCTGATGATGAACAAAGTGAGATGCTGAACCTAAGTCAAGGCCGGCCATACACAAAGCTAAAGAAGAGTAAAACAGAAAACAAAGGAAACAAAAGCGGGAATATAGTATATAATAAGAGAGAGATTAATTATAATAATTAGTGGGTTTAATTATATTTATCTGTCGAAATTTTTGAAAGATGTTGGAGTGCCCAATGATTCAAACCTCTCATATAGAATGAATTGAATCATTGAACTGAGTGAAGGTGAAGGGGGGAGTGAGAGAGAGAGAGAGAGAGAGTGAGGGAGATGTAAAAGAGGTTAGGTTAAGCCATTGTTTGAACCAAAAAAGCATACAGACGAATATAATATATAATAATAATTAAGAGAATAAATTATGCAATTATTTAATTGATTTCTTCGTAACCCACATTTATAATACAAACTTTTAAATTATTGGGTGAAGTTAAAATGTTTTGTCCAGTTCTGAGGGCAACGTGCAAAGAGAGATTATTAATTAGATGATTATTTAGGAAACCTAGGTATCTTTTGATAAAGAGAAAACCTAAAATATATAAAGCCTAGCTAGTAAGTAATTTTTTCACATGAACACATTCACGCTTTCCGAATAAATTTGGATTTTCTATTTTCAAGTCTTCAATGAACATAAGTACTCACATGTACAAGGCTCAATTAATTGTTGACCCTAGGGCTACCAACTTGTTAAAATAACAACTATATTTATAAAAAAAATTAAAAGAGATAGATAAATTTCCTCTTTCTTTTCTTTTTCCAAAATCGATGTATGAACTATCTTTTTTGCATCTTTCGGGAGCTCTTATATTTTACATGTTGAAGTAGCACTAGAAATTTAACAATCTTCCAACCAAAATCTAAGATGCTTTAATGTGGAATAGCATATTTCACTTTTTTTTTATCTTATTTATAAGTTACTTTCAACATATTTTATTGAAGTCAAGAAAAACCTTAAATATCATTAACTATGTCTTAAAATTTAATAAATTTTCACATCTATCATCTAATAAAGACAAAATGAACTATGTTTAATAATTTTTCATAGTATTTGATAAGGGTAGAAAGGTAAAGATGAATATAAAAAATAATGAAGTACCCCATAAATAGGACTACAATTAATCTTCTCTTTCTATCTTATAAATAGAACTAGAGAAGTATCTCTCATGACTTACAAGGTCACGATAATAGATTATGGGCATTGTGGAAGAGTCAACTATGATTTTTGCAAATTAAAATTAACTTGATGCAACTTTAATTATTTTTTACTATTTGGTAATATAAGCCAAAGAGAAATGATATGTCTTCATTTTAATAAATCGAGTAATATAAGTTATTGTGTTAATGGTCATTTTTACCATTCAACTTTACTTGAAGGATCATTATAAACTATAAACTCAAATATGAGTTAATTCTATCTCTCAACATTAAAAATTCTCTCCATCATCCTCCTACCATTAAAAACACTTAACATCTATTAGTCATCAATGCATCCTGCTATTTTTTTAATATTTTTTATCCTATTAAGCATTAATTATTTTTGCCCTTCAATTCAAATATTTTATAATAAAAATATATTAAAAATGTAATATGGGGCTCACTAACGGTCAACTAACGATGATGAAATGGAAGGGTTAAGTGAGGAATCTTTAAAGTCAAGGGATAGAATTAATCCATTGTTGAATTTATGATCCCCAATGACTTTTTGGATAAAGTGGAGGGGTAAAAATTACCCTTAACCCTAATTTATTATGTATTTATGCTATCATCAATAATTATTCTTTGTTGTTACCTATTTTATCAAAGAATATGTAGCCATTTTCATGCACAAAAACATCTTTTTTATTATCTTCTATTTTTGGGTAAAAGAAAAATTTACTTCTTAAATTAGTTTGAATAGCACTAGAGATCCTAAACTTGTTTATTATACTATTTATTCACTCAACTTTTGAATTTTATAGTAATCTCCTCCAATATTAGTGGGGCCCAACTAGTCCAGACACATGATACTCATTTTTGCTTGATTGTTGCTGATGTGTGCCAAAAAAATTAGTGCCACGTGTCTCAACAATGGGCCCTTGCCACCCACCGTAAAGTAATTGACATTTTTCTTTTACTTACTGTTGAGAGAAAGAGAGGTCGCTACAAATTTAAAAGTTAAAGAAATAACTTATAAAATAAATTAGTTTAGAGTTTTTGACACTATTCGACTTATAGTTTAAATGGTAAATTACTGTATTACTTCTTTTTTTAATTAATTTGCAGTTTGTGTATTAAATGGGTTTTATATATATATATATTGAATATACAGGATAAAAAAGTATGAAAATAAAGAAAAATAGAGCGTTAACTTGAGCTCATAATATTGATGCAACGTTCAAAAGTTGATTATGGTAAACAACCAGGATTTTTTTTTTTGAGGCAGCTCGAAAATGTTCCTGGAAACCGTATAAAAAGGTTTGACTTTGCATCATGAGATGCACAATATAATGAAAAAGAAATCTATATTTTACTTTATCAAAGTCAAGGTAATTGATCAACCTCCAAAAAAAATTAATGGCGTCAAGGTAACTTGAACGCGCTTAATTAGTTTCTGTGAGCTTTTCTTGACATATATATTCTCTATTCTAATGAAGGATATGTCTGTAAGAACTTAGAGATGCATTTGTTCACACTATGTGAAATCTCTAAATAGAAAAATCAAGGTTAAATTTGGTTCCTTGGAAACCAAGGGAAAGTATATATTAAAATTAATCATTAGTATTAGTATTAATATTAGGGGAAAATAAAATTGTTGGTTCCTATACTTTTAATGTGGTTTGGTATTAGTCCCTATCTTTTTATTTCACTGTTCCAAGTTTGTTAAGTTTCAAATATATGCAATATTAGTCCTTATCATCACTAGCAGAGTTAAATCTGTTGATGTATACATATAAGTTGATAAACTTATAATAAGTTGGAGATTGTATGAGCAAAATGACTATCAATAATCTTTTTGTTTGTCTACCCTACCTGTGTGTTTTCTTCCTTCTGAAGCTTCATTCATTGTGTCCTACTTGTCTTTTTCTTTTTCTTTTTGTTTTTGTCTTCTACTCATTTTCTATAAGACTTATCATCATAATTTTAACAAATCAATACAAGAAGTAACAGAGTTTAAGTCCTTATGGTCATGTTTCAAAATATAGGGACTAACATTACAAATAGAAACTTAAGAGATTTGAAATAATAAAATAAAAGTACAGGAACTAATATCAAAACACACTAAAAGTATTAAAAAATTATATTTTTTCTAATATTAATGACCTTAGCCAGAACATGTGTCATTGTTTTGTGATCGTTATAAGAAGCTACGTTATATATCAATTTTGAAGGGTTGTGCAATTTAAGTTTTCAATTTTGAAATTTGACTATATGTCCAAAAAATCAACTAATGAAGCCCAATCTGAAAGTTTGGGTATTCTACTACAAAATTCATCGTTGGCGAAAGGAGTTTGAGCACCTAGCTATTTTGCAAAATTAACCTATGAAGAAAATGATATTTTTTCCAATTTGGTGTCCCGTGACATAAATGTGTTGTTGAGTAATTATGGTTTGGAAAAAAAAAAGGATTGATAGACTACTTCAGAATTTGTTAAGTATTTTTGAAAAGAAAGGTGATTTTAAGAATAACACTAACTAATTTTAAGCTAACTTATTTGGTTTACCTGACCTAGTTTAAGATAGCTTCTAAATAAAAATGGAGGGAAATGAGAAAGTGGCAAGAGAATCATGGAGGGGGAGAGAGGATTGGTCACCCCTTCCGTATTCGTTAGTAAGAAATTTAATTTAATTTTCTAACATTTAATATATACTACAGAAATTGACTTTTAATTTGATGGTGGTTTTTTTGTGTCATCACCAAAAGTGTGGCACTAAGTTATCGCCAAAAATAACTTTTTGACCAAATTTTAATTGTCATAATTAAAAGGGAAAATTTTGATGACTACTTTTTTTTTGGTTATCATCAAAAATGGATTTTGATGACTTTGTAAACAATTGACACCAAAAGTAACTTTTGGTAGCAACAAATAATTTATATAATTACTTTTTGAAAGCCATATTGGTTATAATACTCCTAAACTTCTACTGGTTTTTTTTCCCCTTCAAATTATATAATTTCACAAAAAAACTTAGTGTGTTAAACACATCAGGGCAGAAAAATAAATACCATGGCAATAATTAAAGAGTAAGATTTAATTTTTTTTGTAAAGGTGCTCCTAAATCAGGAGACTAATTAACTTACTGACCATGGTTAACCATGGATTAATCTAAGAGGATTATCCAATAATGATTAACCTAACCCAACTCAACTTGTATTTTCTTTTCAAAAGACATATGTTCCAACATTCATACCAAAATGGGATCTCAAGTTTTTCATCATCTAAATACATCAACAATTCACTAATAATATTGCAGAAGCATGGGATCAAGATATTTCTAAAAGATTTGCATAGCATCTAATCATCATCACAACATATTTACATGCAATCTTATTACATGCCATCACATGTAAATCCCACATATATATAATTGACAACCTCAAGTCATATTCACATACTATAATGCACTTACTCTTCACATTTTCATCTATTTAACTCATAATAAATTTTATCCAAGTCACCCCTAATTCAAAAGCTAAGGGGAGGTCATTGCATAAATCAAACAAATGTATCATCTATTCATGCATAATCAAATCAACTCACTTGCACTAGTATTTTTGACCTTTTAAATTTAACCCATGCATATTACAACAAATCTAGGGCCCAAAATACACAACCATCACATTTCAAAAACCATAATGCAAGTGACAAAAAAAAATCCCAATTAGCAATATCAAAAGTAATCCTAGATGGTGTGTGCGCTACCGTGCATAGCTAAATTTTTTGATATAGTGATTGCAAATTAGACAAAAAATTAGAAGGAGAAAAGGGAGAAAACATGATTTCTCTATTAGGGCTTGTGGCTTTGGAGGTTTGGGAATACTTTAGGGCTAGAAAACATCTAAGATAAGATTCTTAAACTCTTTTCCTCCCTTTCTCTTCCATTTTCTCAAGTTAGAAAGTTAGGGTTTGAGTCGTAATGGTAAATTTTGGTCCATATGAGTTATTGGTCCAAACCCATTAGCTAAAATGGAGATAATTAGAGTTATTTAAGGTATTTAAACCTAGTATTAATGGTTTTATGAGTTGTTGATGGGTAAGGACAATTAATGGTCAAAAATAACA